CAGAGGTTCACTGGGGCCGTAAGGGGAGAGGACACTCTCGTCAACCCCGGGCCACCCCACTTGATTCACCACAGGCCACGCTGTTGATGTTAAGGAGTTAAGAGTGGATGATAGTGGACAGAGAGGGACCCCATGCCTTGATGATGGGAGCCCGTTCCCAGGGTGGCCTGGCTGGCGTGGGAGCTCGGGGCCACGATGCCTGGTGCAGGAGGGTGTTTGGAGCCCTTTTGTCGGGCGCTAACCTCAGCTTGCTGCCTCTGTAACTCAGAATCCTTTGAAGGTATGGGTGCAGGAGTGGCCGCGAGGCGGCAGTACAGACTCACAAATCAGGGCCACGGCAACCGCGGCAGGGTCCACTGGTGACCAATGAGCTGGAGTATGCCTGAGTATGCCCGTAACCACGTCTGGAGGCTTCCACACAAAGGTGGACTTACTCACAGCAACTGCAGGGAACTGTGAGAAGCGAGCACCCAGTAGGCTATTGACGGCCATGGGTCTGCCCAGGGTACTTCAGCCCCTCCATACACCTGAAGCCCTGCTGCATGGCCAGGTGTGGTCAGCTCAGAGTCCTTGGCCCTGGCGTCCCAGCCACATCCCCCAGAGCTGTGCCACTTTTGTCTCCAACACCCTTGGCTTGGTTGGGCAAACCTGATGGACAATAGAGAGGCCAAGGGGGCAGGGTGACCAGAATGGCCAGGGAGTGGAAGCCCTCCTCTCTGCATTCTGTCATTGAGTCGTGGTGACCGAGATCAGCTGGAGGGGCAGGACAGGGCTGAGGCTGCCACGTGGCTTCTCACCAGACAGTGCCCACAAAATGTGGATGGCCACATAGTGTGTACAGACCACTGGGAAGGGGGCCTTCGGTGCCCTAACCTGCTGTCCCGTGGAGGCCACTGTGACCAGAACTAGTTCTGTCACCCAGATGGACCTCAGTGGGGAGTCAGCCAGGGCCCACCGGAGCCTTGCCCGCAGCTCTTCTATGTAGCTCGGCTGACCTGACCCCCGGCGGAACCTACTGGAAGTGCTCAGAGCCCCCCATGACTTCCCGCTCTCGCCCCTAGGACCCCTCGAGTGGACAAGAGGTCTGGCCACAGTGGTGGAAGAAGGTGGCTGGGTTCCGTTCGAGCTCCCAGGGACTCCAGCCAGGACCCTGGCCTCGGACAGTGCTCACCCAGCACCAGCAGCGCAGGGTTCAGGGAGCGCCGTTCCATGAGGGGAGCCAACGGTTCTTGACCCAGAGGGGGACGTTTGGGTACAATGCCAGGCCCTGTCTAAAGGATGCCAAAGGAGGGGTGTGGGGAGGCTGTCTTTGGAGAATTCCAGGACGGGTGTGGGGTGAGAGGAACGTGCGCTGGAACGGACCAGGGTGGAGGTGGGCCCTGCGGGGGCCCCGGCACGGCCCGCTCTGATTGGCTGGCAGGGCAGGGGCGGGAATTCTGGGCGGGGC